CCGAGGGACCGCCCGCCTCCGTCGAGGTCCGTTGATGCTCCTCCCTGGGACACCTGCAGCTTCTGCACACCTTTCTGAAATCAGAATCGAGTGCTCTGGGTTAGAGAGGCTCGGGGCAGCGAAAGCGAGGTCATTGGTCTTCTTTGCGTTTTGTTATGTGCTTTAATCTTACATAGGGTTGGGCGGTAATCGTAGTACAACCGGGCAGGGGCTGATATTACATGAAAAAATAAGTTGGAAATATAGAATAAAATTTTTTCATATGACGCGTCGTTCCTGAGAAAATCAAGTTTGACAATTTGTCAAATATACTTTAACTTGGCTAAGTACAGACTAGGTACGAGTAAACGATCAGCAGGATGTTATTATACACATGGAAACAAATCAAAGATGTAAAATAAATTTTTATAAAATATATTTTCAAATTTATTTTTATCAAAAATGAAGCATCATCTGAAAAATATTGTTCTACATTTTAGACATACTTTCAAATGTAGTTTATATCCCTGTTGATTATTTTAAGTATACTTGTCAAATCTTCGAAGACGATTATCTCGAAAACGATGCTTCAGATGAAAAAATGTTATACCAAATTGTTTTCTTATTTTTTTATTTAAAATCACTCTCTGCCCGGTTGCACTACCATTAGTCCTATCCTGTATATTTTTATAGCTTTATTCTGTGTAAGGTTTCTAACCTAGCAAATTTATGTAGTTTATACAGTAAATTTATTTTAAATAAACTTTATTTTCATTCTATGAGGTCATATTTTAGATTCATGAATTTTAGAAATTTCCTGATATTGTTGCAGATTGACTTATTCGATATTTATGGAAATTTATAAATTTGACCAATATAGGTAATTTAATATAGGTTATGTATAAATTACAGAATAGTGTATTATTGATACTTTTTTACAGAGATTAATAATAAAGCATTGAAGATAGAACACTCTAACTGATTTCGAAGTATTTAAGAATTTCTAGTGGAATGATTATTCCAATTAATGAAGTAATGCTCTAATTGGCAAATTAACATAATGCTAAATATAAGTTAGGTTACGATTCCGCATACCTAAACAGAAAGTATAAATTATATGGTTCCTTGGATGGAAAGTTCGCTCATAAAGGCGACATATTAATTCAATTTTACAATTTGCAATAAAACCATACAAATCGGATTCATTACATGTAATTGCTAGAAAAAATTCTGGTCATTCTAATTTGATTATGCAGAAACATTCTAATTTGGTGCAGTAACATTATCGCTGATCGTAAATTCAAAATCATTGACATTTTCTTACATTGAAGAAATTAAATACTATCTAAGTCTTCTAAAAGCAGAGTATTGAAATACTTCTAGTAATATGCCCTAAATTCCGAGACATTTCTGCACGAAGCCATAATGTGATGAACGCTTCAATCCACAAGGAATTATAAATAGATATCTATTAACATTGAAATATGTTAACAAATGATATATACTGATTTTTTAAAACGAATAGTTTTAAATATAATCAGTGCAATTAATAGAAACATATTTGATTTAGAACTAATTAGTGTGTTAAATATGTTTCTACACGAGTACATTGCAAGCAAGAATTCATAGTAGCACTACACATATTGCATATAAACGCAGTAGCGTTCCAAGAAGACATTCTTTTCCCACAGGAAGCGATAAATTCGCTTCCCATCAATTCGAAGAAACGGAAGGACCTCGATCGCTTCGCAAACCTATCAATTTAAAAAAAAAAGTACATAATCAAAAAGAAAATTAGTATACCCTTTAATTTCAACTCCAAAAAAAAAAGGAAACTAAATGCAGTGAAAAATAAAATCAACGAACATAAAGAAACCCTTTAATTTTCATTAAAAAAAAAAAAAGAAAGAGAAGAAGAAATATACCTGTGCAATTAAGAATAAAATTAATATCTCTTAACTTTCACAACCAGAAATACTATAAGACCGACATCTAGTAATTTCCGTTCAATATCAATTAATAACCTCTCAACTTAAAAAAAACCAGACCTACACACAATTTAGTTCATTTTTCCCATTAGGAGAAACGGAAGAGAAAAACGAGAATATAGCATTGATTCACTTTCAAAACGAAAAGTATGCATGTTGCAATTTAGAGGGCAGTATATCATTAAGATGTCCTGCAAGTGAGAGAGAGAAAGTCTCGTGGCACGACAAGAAAGCCTATTTGCATGAAAGACGATGAATTGGCAGCGAGTGGTAGGCCTGATTACACGGTAACCAGCGGAGAAGCATCTGTTCTCATCGCAACTTCATACTGCTTCCAGACTGTAAGACGTAAGACATCAACTAGTCTATCGTAATTTAAAAACTGATTCATTCGACTTATGATCAAAACACTGTGTGAGATAGAAAGGGAGGAATTTCATTTTCACCGAGAAAGTGCGAACATTATTCCGTAGGAGATTGATCTGACTACGTTCAAGGAAAACAGTATACACTTTGCTGGTGTGGTCAATGAAACGCGGAACGTGCTAATTTCACTTTTTTCTACTAGTATTTCCCATGTCTAATATTATGAACGTTTAATGATGCTTTGATTTGTTTCGTTCCTATTGGTCGATTAGTTGGTACTTTAACTTGATAACTTTCTATAGTGGACTCAAGTTAATAGATGATTTTCTGATGTTCTAATGTTTTTTTGAACTATCCTACGTAATCCTAACCTTAAATATTATGAGCCAAATGTCAATCTTCATTTCAATTGTAATAGTTTACTTTGTAGTATTTGAAAATGAAATCTCTTTATCTTTAGGTTAATGCAAAGACTATCACGATTAATTCAATTAACATTGATTCATATATTTTGGCAAGATTATAACGCAGTATGCAGATAGTTATGAACAGAGATATAATTTCAACCAAAAGAATCTTAAACCAATGGACCACCAATAAGTATTAAAAAATACTCGCTTATTACCAAAACTGTTAAAAAATTTGTTATCCAACTTGAATTCGTATGTATATCCTTCCCTAGTAAAACAACAAAATGTAAACACCAAACCTTTCACACCAATCAACATAACACGGAACACCTTTCAGCCACTCTCCACGCACTCTTCTGAAGAATATAACCAGCTCGCCAAAAAACAAGATCACTAAAACGACACCCGTATCACAAGCAGGCTACCGGCCAAAAAACTTTCCCTCGAACAGGCCAATCGGCAAAACGAGATCAACTCACTCTGCAGAGGCGGCGACATCATAACCCGAATGCAAGGAGCCACAATCAGGTATCACTGGCTCCCCTGTGATCCTGCGTTCGGTTTCAAACACAGCAACGTCGTGAGCACCGTTCAGATATTCCACGCACTTCTCCGTAGGGCTAGCTCTCGTTGTAGCCAAAGCTGGACACCCGACCATAACACCAACCACATCATCTTCGTCGTTTCCATCTTCACGATTCCTCAGAAAAGCATCCAAATAATGTTCATCGGTGGAAGGTAACTCGTAGACGGCGCCAGGTGTCCAATTACTGGGTAGATCCCGTCGATTGGCAGATTCATCGTCAATTTTGTTAACTTGATCGTTTTTCCTGGCGTATAGTTTACGGAGGTAAGCTTCCTGGTGGCTCC